TTTTTTTGTTTTTGTTTTTGTTTTTTTGAGGTTGAGCTTTAGACCATTTTTTGTGCTCTCCTCTTTCACCCTCATTAAGAAGTTCTTTAATTCCTCCTCACTTTCTGCCATCAGAGTGGTATTGCCTGCATATCTGAGGTTATTGGTATTTCTTCCGGCAATCTTAATTCCGGTTTGGGATTCCTCTAGTCCAGCCTTTCACGTGATGTATTCTGCATATAAGTTAAATAATCAAGGAGACAATATACAGTCAAAAGCACACCTGGTGAAAAAGATAGAAGAAACATAAGATAATGTAGACACTTAGATTTTATAAAAATTGACCAGCCCCAGTCAGAAAAACACATCCTATTGTCTTTAGGATACAAACAGCAGGCTAAGCAGTATGCTATTTGTATCCTAAACATGACAGGATGTGTTTTCCTGTTGAAAGCTTGAACTTTTACTGTTTTATTAAAGGTTTTACTTAGAAGCTAAATTGTTTTTTGGGTTAATTCGGTCTCTTTCTCTTGGATTGATCAACTTTTATTATGCTCCAAGAAAGTAGAAAGTTTTTCACATGGAGTTTGTGTTACTATATATTTTTGGTTTAGATTATAAATTCGTGGGTATGAGTGTCACTGAATTTATTGGAGATTGTCAAAAGCATCCGTTCCTGACAAACAGCATAATTGCCCAATGTACCTGTCTTATTTGAAAAGTATGAGTGGCCTTTCTGCTACTTTAGAGGTCAAATAACTCCCTGCTATCCAACTCTTCTGTGCTTGTGCAGCTCCGTTAACTTTTTTTTTTTTTTTTTAAAAAAGGCAAAATGAAGCATACATACATACACAAGACAACTCCTTTGCTATAACCTTAATGCCTAATCACTTGAGGGAATGCTTTTTAAAAAAAGGTTATTAACTCCTCACAGGATGCGCCAGACTATGTCTCCCTCCTTCCTTTTAATTATTATTATTTTGAAAAGTGGAAAACAGGAATGTGGCTTCAATTCCTCCTACTCTATTACATCAAGATAGTATGTCACACGTGTAGGAGCTGGATGGCACGAGAGTGTGAGTTTTGCAGTAAGAGAAGTGTGTGGGCTTGTTCTTAAAAAAATCATCTGGAAAGGCTTGCAGGGGAAAAGGTGAGGCTCCACAAATGGAGGGCGTCTGTGTTCTGTCTCTGGCAGCTCTAGGGAACGTGACTCTAGTTGAAAGGAAAGAAATGCCCTTCTGCTGAAAGCTGTCTAACCGCCTTACTGATTCCAGACCCCATTTCCTTCATTATTATTTTTCAGAGCTCACCGCCTCTAAGATGCTAGAGTTCCAGGAAAGCATAATAACCCAAACCCATATCCCCTGTGTCTGGAATTTTATTACAGTTTGGAACTGTTTTACTGCTAGCTCACTTCACTCACAATAATAGCAGTAACAATAATAATTATAATTATAGCAAAAGCTCCAGCTTCATAGTTCTTGCTAGAGCTGATGGGATAGGAGAGAGAGGCAAGGGAGAAACCTTGGATGAGGTCTGCCCAAGTGTGCTCTCTCCCTCTCTGGGGTTTATCAACCTTGGCTCACTCTATTTTACAGGCCATTTCCTAGCAATAAATTTGGTAACTTGTAAGTAAAAATATCCTTTAACAGGTAGTAAGAACTCTTTTTTTATATAACAATTTACAGAACTATTATGGGGCAAGATTTTGGGTTTTTCAGAACTGCCAACTTTGAGTTTTAAAAGTCCATGCTTATTTTCAGCACTGCTATACTCTAAAGATAATTTCCTTTCCCAGTGTCTTCTTCCTCCTTGTTTAAGTGTTCAAGCCACTTAAGCCATCTTATGCAGATACTGGTTATTGTGATTTTGAGAATCCTCATCTGATCTTCACACAATTAAAATACTAAGCTACCCTCCACATTCTCACCAGCACCTGGAAGCTGATAGTTATGAAGGAAGGGTGGTCACCTGTATCTCTTATTTCTCAGTGATTGGCGGCTTTCTGCCCCTTTACTTTATTCTTTAGAGCAGTATTGTATAAAACAGGCTGTCATACAGTTTACATAGCTACAATCAGCCTAGGAGTGAGGATGAAGTTTGAGTAGTGTATTTGCTTTTAAAGAGGAGTATTTATACTTGAATGTGAAGAAGCAAGGCAGTGATTCTAACAACTGCTTGTGAGATCCTTGTTTCCCCTTCCCATTGTGGCTTCTTTTTATCTCTCCCATAGTCAGTGGCTGAAATCTAGTAGTAAATCATCATTAAAGTATTAAAGTTTTATTTGTTTGTTTGTCCAGTTTATATACAGCTTCCATTAGTGCCAAAGCACTACCCTGGGCAGTTTACAATAAATATAATACAGTGTTTCCCTGAAAATAAAACAGTGTCTTATATTAATGTTTGGTCCAAAAAACGCATTAGGACTTATTTTCAGGGGATGTTTTATTTTTATTTTTTTCATGTACAGCAATCAGTCATGTCATCTTCTTGTTGCTGCACAATGGTGGAGGGTGGGGTTTCACTTAACTGGGGCTTATTTTGGGGGTAGGGCTTATATTACAAGCATCCTGAAAAATCATAGTAGGGTTTATTTTCAGGTTAGGTCTTATTTTCAGGGAAACGGTATAAAACTAGAAACTGAGATAAAAACACTAAAAACAATTAGCAAACCACCGTTAAAGGCAGCTGGCGCAAACCAATCATACAGAAATCACAGTGGATGAAAAAGAAAAATGGACACATTGTAACAATGGGGGTTTGTTGTTTCAATTTCTCAATAAGTTCAACTGATTTAATGGGACTACTCTACTTGTGACTTACTACTGGACTCAGTCAATGGATTACATATTTTGCACAAAGCTGCTGTCCCTAAATTGCACATCAGAGTTCTTTCCTGAACTGGGAATTTCCTAAATGCTGCGTGATTGAACTAACCTTGCTAATGGTTGCAAGATATCTGAGTGTGTGCAGTCCGTAGTCTTCCTCTGCAATAGTTTTGATCCATGTTTTGGTTCCATAGATTATTTAGTAGCCAAACTGAAGCAAATGATTCAGTCACTTCTTTGAATAGTCTGAAAACGTCTTTGATTTTAGTAATGAGCTGTATATATGATGTTGCCCTTGGAGACCATCCAAAATTTCACATAGTTTGGAATATGCCAATTTAATTCTTGTCTGGAGTGAATTTTTAGGCACATACAACAGTTACTCTTTCTTATCTTCATGGGTTTCTAGCTTGTTTTATGGCCAAATGCAAAGTGGTGGTTTTGACAACCCCAGACCTACTGGGATATGCCACAGTTTCACTAAGCTGCCACGAACCATTCCCTATAAGAAGTCACACAGACCAGGGATGGATTTTTAACAAATAAAAGAACAAGGTTTATTTACATAACACACAGGGAAAATAAACTGATCAAATGAATAAGATACAGTAACGTGGCTTAGTCTCAATCATGCATACACCAGTTTGGTTCACTCAGAACGCATTTAACTAAAGCACAGACCCTGAACCTATCAGTTCTGGCTAACCCTACAGACACCTGAACCTATCAGGTTGGTACTGACTGACACACAGTAGTACCCTGTCTGACACACAGACTCCCACTCAAGCTTCTTCTCTCAGCTCTTCTCCAGCGATATTTCAGTGAACACATCTCTCCTACTGGTATAGCATTCCTCTTCTCAGATGAAAGACCATTTGTAGCTTACTCAGGTTGCAATACTCTTAGCTGGGAGAAGGTTGGCTATTTGAGGCAGAGTCTTTTTAGTTGTGGTACTGATGCTATGGAAAGCCATGCTCAATAACATTTAATGATTGCATTCAACAAATGAAAGCTTTTCATTCTTGTCAATTTTTGTGAGAGTAGAGTCTGCTCATTTTAATAAAAGGGATGCCTTTAATTCTTCTAATTTAATAACTGTATTGCAGGATTGATTTTAGTGTAATTTTATATTTGCTTATTCTAAGTCAATTTCAGGGCCTTATGAAAAAAAGGTGGAATAAGCACAAGTTAGCAAGATGTGTGTTTTAAAAACTCATTATGCCTCTATATTTCTTAAAGCCTTCCGTTTACTCATCCCTATCCCCAATGTACCAATGGATACCTTTTCTTCTCTTCTATGTGCTTAATTGTTATACCGCAAATGTGTATGTCTTGCATATTTCCATATAAGCCATCAATGGAATATTATATTTCTGTGTTTATTATTAAGTGGTTTGGTTGTGGTATTGCGTTTATTTATTTATTTGATTTATACCCCGCCCATCTGGGTGGCAATGGAAAGTCAGTGTTGGGGGGAATGCAAACATATGCACTGATCAGGTGAAAGATTTGTGGGACCACCTTCAAAGTATACATTGTCAGGTGAGTTGACAAAATAGTAAAGATCAATGTTCCCTCTAATTTTTAGCCCCACTGGGCAGGGCCCTGCCCCTGCACACACACAACTCTGCATGGTTCTATCACAACTGGAACCAAAGGTACAGAAAACTATCGCTTTGGGTGCGTGGAGGAAGAGGAACGCTGCACAAAAGGGGGCAGAGTCACATGCACACAGGCACGCACTTTAAAGGGAACCTTGGTGAAGATACAATTCACTCTCTTTTAGCCAAATATATTATTTACGTACAATCTCTGTGATTATCGAGGATTCTTCTGGACAGAATATTCCAGCATTATCAATCAAAATGCATTATTCAGCTAATCCATCTTCTCTTTATTAATATATTTGGCAAAGAGATAGGTGAAATGATGGAAAAATACAGGAGGGTTATATATGGAAGACAAAATTGGACCACCCTTTAAAATCCTGTGAACATTTCAAGGTGATTCCCTGATAAAGGTCTTGTCTGGGATTAGTTTTTGTCAAAATCTCTATGTAACTGAAACTGAAATAAATGTCCCATCCACAATTCCCCTTCTTCCTAAACAATTTATCTTTTAATGAATGTATGGACACTTGCTCAACTATTACCACCACCCTCATGGTTATCTTAGCTAAGTATGTTTTGCCTTGTGTGTTTTTTTTCTTCCCTATCATAGATATTGACGAATGTCGGTTGAACAATGGAGGCTGTGACCATATCTGCAGAAACACTGTGGGAAGTTTTGAGTGCAGTTGTAAGAAAGGATATAAGCTCCTGATTAATGAAAGAACTTGCCAAGGTAAAGCCTTCTCAGTGTCTTGATGGAAAAGGTGATGTAATTATTGTTGAGTGTGAAGATACAGTGAACTCATAAGATTCAGGGCCAAAATCTTGTTTGTGTAAAGTTATGTGGGAGAAGCTGATGATATACAAAAATCCTGCCTCTAATAATCTGGTGGTAATTTTTAACTTTAAAAGGCTCCCTCTCCTCATTCCAAGTCACTGTAAGGCTTCCCCATGACTAAAGGAGCCCTAACAAGCCTCAGAACCCAAAACAGGGACATCATAATCATTGTGTGCCATCAAGTGAATTCTGATTTACTGCAGTCTTTCTCAAGATTTTATAGATATTTATTTATTTATTTATTTTTATTTTTTTTAATTTCCAAAACAAATACAAGAATACAAAATACTTACTAATACAGTCTAAAACACAGTGCACCCCCATACCCACGGGACCCTTTGGAGCAATACTTTTATTATGAACCTCCTTTCCAAAATTGTATTGATTGTTGCTTAGAAGCTTTCCCCTTTCCTTTCACTAATACAAATTCAATAAATTTACCCCATATAGCATAAAATATTTAAACTTATTTCCCCTCTTTTCATCTTAAGTTCAGGAGTCAATTTATCATTCAATGCAATGTCCCATACTTCATTATACCAATCTTCTAATTTAATATCATTTTATCTTTCCAGAATCTAGCTATTAATATTCTAGCACTCATAAAATTAGACATCAATTCCTTTGAGCTAAAATATAGTCCTCAAATAGAGGACATATCAGATATTAAGCTAATAAGAAGAGATACTACACTTGATCTTAGCCAAAAGGGCGAGAAGCGATGATATCTATTTATTTTAAATATTTATTTACCACCCAACCTAGTGACAAACATTAATCTGGGTGGTTAACAATGAATAAGAAAACCAACCCACCAAATCCAGCACCACTCAATCAGGAAAAATTAAACCAAAGACTAAAACCAACATAGAGAGCCACTTATTATTCCCTTCTTCTGGAGGCATCCTATGCAGCTTGCCCACGTCCACACAAGCTGACTCTTCTGAGATGAACAGTGAGGAATCGAACTCCCAGTCTCTGATTCTACAGCCAGATACAAAGGGAGCTTTTAACTAGTTTTAATTGACCATTTAATTAACTGATTTAAAAATAACTTGTTCCTCATTCGTTATTTTTTAAAAAACGAACTCACTTATTTTATCTATGAGAACCAAAACAGGCTTCAAAATAGACTAAAGAGCTCCACCAAATAATATTTTGTGTTTTCTCGACTTTATAGGTATAGGCTGGATTCTACCTTCTCCTATCCAAGTAGGCTCAGTCAGTGATTAAAAGAGTAATATAACACTTTATTTACAACACTACAACACAAAGCATACTAATCTATTTGACTGACAACATTCAGTTCTGCTGTTACAGTTCTATTTTCTTGAACCTTTCCTTGAATTCAATATCAATTTCACCATACACACAATCGAAATAAAATATCATCTCCCTGACTCCACAGACTCTCTTTTTTCCTCTCTCTTATTGTGACTAAGCCTTCCTTAACTCCCTTCATGGCATTCTGATGGCTGTGACAGGCATTTTATGTTATTTTACTTTTCATGTTTTGATGGATTGGTCCCTGTTTGATGTTTTTAAGTTTCAACAAAATGCTTAAAAGCAACAACTGGTGAATTAAATGAGGAAATTAACACTCTTGTTGCCAGCAACTCAGGTTCTGCTTCCTGAAATGTGGTGACTTCTCTTGTACCTTACACCTGTAACAAGGAACAATAGACAGATCCTTTTACGAAGCTTGAGTTTTCAGTGTGTTTTGTAACTTGATCATATGATTGCTTTTGATTTTATCTAGCTAATCTTTTAAATTCTGAACTCACTTAAATATATGCACACATTATGCCAAAAAGGAGATATTTGATTCTGGCATGTTGCTCAGTGAACATTTGAACCCAACCTGTAGCTGCTATTTTAAAAATGCAGAAAAAAGCAATCGAAATTAGGAAGGATTTCAAGCAACTCCCTTATGAGGAAATGTTGAATGTAAGGAGCTGTTCAACCTGGGAAAAGACTGGTAAAGAATGAGACAGAGGTGTATATAACTATATAGGCATAGAAAAGTGAGGGGGCCCTCCTTTTCTAATATTAGAATGCTTCATGACAAATGAAGAAGTGAACAATGAATCAATTCATCATTCATCAGGTAATTTCCCCCCTTTTCTTCCTCTTGCTATGCCCCGAGGCATAGAAAGAGGAGGGAAAGCAGGGATCAAAGTGATCCCGCAGCAGCTGGGGGGATCATTTTGATCCCTCTTCTTATGCCGCGGGGGCATAAAAAGAGGAGAAAAGGGGAACCAAGCCATCTCCCAGCCCCAGAGGTCAGATTCCATTTGAGCAGGATTTACTCATAGCAAGCTGCCCAAAGGGAAAACCCCTCTCTGCTTATGCCCCTGAAGAACAGCTGATCCGTGGGGGCAGAAGCAGATAGGGAATGAAGGGATGAATATAAAAGTGTTATATTTGTTGCTTTGTATTTGGTGGTGTGTCTGGACCCCAAGAATACGAAGCAATGAATATCTGACAAATCAGGGATATTTAATGAATATGCTAATTCGTTTTTATATTCGTCCCCATATCTAATTACAACCAATCTATGGAAGCTGACATGGTGGTGCTGTGGGTTAAACCACAAAAGCCTCTGTGCTGCAAGGTCAAAAGACCAGCAGCTGTAAGATTGAATCCACACAATGGAGTGAGCTCCTATCACTTGTCCCAGCTCCTGCCAACCTAGCAGTTTGAAAGCATGCAAATGCGAGTAGATAAATAGGTACCACCACGGTGGGAAGGTAATGGCGTTCCATGTCTAGTTGCGCTGGCCACATGACCACGGAAACCGTCTTTGGACAAATGCTGGCTCTACGGCTTGGAAATGGGGATAAGCACCGCCCTCTAGTCAGACACAACTGGACAATTTGTCAAGGGGAACCTTTACCTATGGAAGCTGAATCATGGAAGATTCAGGAAAAATTAAATAACTACTTCATTACACAGCGCATAGTGAAACAGCAAGAAGTAGCAGCAATTGCAACTTTTTGTGGTTTAACTGTGTGAAGAAATTTCTTGTTATTTGTCCTAAATCTTCCACCATTTAAGAATGGGTCAGGTTTCTGGGGGATGGGTCTGTCAGTGGCTACTGAAAATGATGAATTTACATATCGTCTGGTTACAAATGCAGCACGTGTCACTGCAGATCAGTTGCTAGGGAGGACAAACGAGGGTGCTTTTGTACTCATGTTTTGGTGGTGGATGTGACGTTTGCCCCTTTGTGGCCCCTGTTTGTCTCCCCAAAATAGAGAGCTCACGAAGGCAAACAAAATAAACACACCTTTTCACACACTGCCACCAGCTGATCCCTAAATCAGCGTACTTTACTTAAGAAAGATGAAGGTCCATACATCACTGTCTTTTGAATAAAACAGGTTTATTGATTACAGATGTTTCTATAATAATTCATAAGTATTTTCTTCAGGTTCTTCAAGCATCAATAACAATTTTCTATTTTATCTTACAGGTTACTAATCACTTCTCAGATTCCCAAACTAACTCTCTCTTTCTAACTGAACTCTACTGTAAACTAAACTCCTCCTCTCTGGCTCTGCCTTTTAACATCTCTAGTGGCCCCACCTCTCAACCATATCAGCATAAAACATGAATAATGCATGACTTGTTTAACATAATCAAGGTGAACGCCACAGTGGGTTTCCCAGAGGAAAGTGATTGCCCACTGAGTGAACAGAATGTGAGCTGATCCTATGCTTTTCTTATGTTCCTTTAAGATGGGGTGTGGGTTGAGTTGCTTTGGAAGATTTAACTTGACTGTTCAACGTTCATAGGAGAAAATATGCCAACTAAGCAAGGATTCAGATATTCACCCAGGCAGGAAGGAAAGTTTTCGAAAATGCTGCTTCTGGGTAAAATAGAGACCTGATGGCAGATAGACCTGCTTACATTGGTCTGCTCCTATTAACACCCTGCTGCAATCTGGTAGCAAAGAGTAATAAAATGAAATGTCTATGTGGCGGTTAATTTACACCCTGCATGTCCTCAAGCTACTTTCCTGACTGAAATTGCCTTCTTACATTAAATTTTTCCATAATTTTTATTGGAGAGTAATGTTTGCATAGTTACTTTACTTAAGAATAAATAAATACCGTAAATAGAGTTGCTACTTAATTCATAGTTTTGAAAACTTTAAAAATGTCAATTGCCTAGCTTTAAAACAAAGTTCAGGGATTAGTGTTGTGTCAGCAAATACATTTTTAACTTTGACCTTTTGCTGGAAGTACCATTTTAACAGCGACCATTTGCTAAAAAGGGTGAAAGACATTTGGGAGGGGTTGCTGAATCCACCCTCTCCTTTCCCCTTGTAAGCATTTTTCATGTGTTTCTCTTGTTCTCCCCCTTTCAGGAGGGCTAATTTTACATCTTAGAGCCTGGTGGAGGAGCCAGGAAAAGTGGGAGGTGAATTTGGGAGAAGCATTTAGTAAGAGAAAGATTAAGTATTCAGTACCATGAAAATGTTTGCCTCTCTCCCACTCAGGCACTGTGCATTAAGTTCAGAAGCAATGTGTTTGCCTCATAATGTGTAGTCCATGTAGGACTAAACATAATATAAATAGAAAGAATGCAGAGAATTAAAATGAAGGACGTGTCCTAAACTAAAAATTGAGAGAGAGAGATTTGCTATACTTAGCAAGTAAAAAGAGGAGAGACAATCTGTGGTCACTCAGATATTCCAGTGTATAAACAAGAAGAAAAGTCCACCACGAGTAATGTTAAAAAGCAAAGGAAAACACCAAACTGTCAACATAGTTTCAGTGTTAAAGTGGAAACAAATCTACTTCCATAAAGTTTTTTTAAAAAAATCTTTAGGGCAGGAAGAGAATCCTGGTTAATAAATTCCATTGCTATTGTTAAAATTCAGATTCTCG